TGTCTTGTTGTCCTGGTCCATCTATCACTCAGAACTGGGTTAATAGGAGACGGAGAAAAAGCCGAAAGGGGCAAAAGATCAAATGAAAGTTACGGAAAAAGCAAAAGGCAACAACAGAAATAAATAAACGGCGGACAAAAGGAAGAGAGAAACAAAAGACCCGAAGACAGAAAGTAAGAAACTTACAGAAACGTAGCAACCAAAGAAATGAGTAAACAAAAGGAGGAAAAAACCAAAGATAAAAGACGACAGACAAAGATAAAGTAATAGATGAAAAATAAGTAAGGAAAGTGAGAAACAAAAATTAAAATACACAAAGTGAAACAAAGACAAAAGAAGAAAGTACAGAAAATGAGAAAGGAAGTACAAGCAGAATGGAAAAACAAGAAAAAATCGGGACGAAGAAAGGACACAACAACAACAAAAACAAAAAACACGGATGACAAGAAAAGAAAACACTCAAGAAACAGTTGCAGAAACGTGCGAGAAAAAAGAAAGAATATTAAAGGTATAAAGAAACAAAAATGCAAAACAATGAGAAACAGACGAATAGAGTACTTTGCATATATTGAAACCTATTCCAGCTTCCAATTAGTACATGTTTAAAGGTATTACGTTTAATACAGTCGCGATGTAGCTGTATTTAGCGTTTCTACTCGCGTCCCGCTACAACCCCATTCAGCAAGGCGCGTTTTATTCCTTGCGACGACCGGAGCAGACAGAGTATTTGCACAGCAGAACAAAACCGGTCCCAGTGCAGTGCTAAAGAGTCAAATATTGAAACACAAGGATGATATTTGCTTTGCCAAATAAGATACTGTTCTCATTTTATGTCACATGGCTTGGCTGTGTACGCCTACAAAGTTTCGTTAGCTACTATTTACCCTAAGGTCGGTGTGTACGAATGAAAATCCTGCATCCTTAGATTTAAGTCTACACTTTTAATCGTTTTGTTCATGAAGTGCATTATCGGGACGTTGTGCCTATCCGTTGGTTGGCATATTTCACCTCAAAGGCTATTATACATACTTCTATTAAATTTGGTATTGGAGGTCAACACAATATTCGTGAATCAAATTCAATTTTGATACGTACCAGTAAATTATAACCCCTACTTTAAACGCAGCCCATTTTTAACTTTATTACTAACTTTTTGGGGAAGCACTTTGTTGGAAACGGGTGGTTACTCAGAAGAGGAATTGTCCGCTTTTATGAAGATCCATAACATTTTCATAAGAAATAAGCCACAGATCTCTCAAGTCCTCTCGTTCCTTTTGGTTTTGCAACTAAAATTTCGATCGCATTTCGCACTTCTTCCATGCGAGCTACACGCCTAAATTCAACATGCTTGCTTTGATCAAATCATGATGTTTGTGAACAACACAAACTATGAAACTCCTCATTGCATAATTTAGTCGACCACCTGCTTTTAAGACCTACGTTATTTAATGGGCTAAACACATTCTGGGCACACTTCGAAATTAAGTAATCTGAAAATCATGTCTTAAATGCAGTTGTACATGAAAGCAACACACAGGGTAAAAAAAGGCTGTTTTCTGGGTTGAAGCGCCGTGTAGTCTGGTAGAACTTTGCCTACGTTTCAGATGTCATAGCTACCTATCCCCCTGATGATGGAGGCATCAAGGAGTTTTGAAAGCTGTTTAACTTCTACCAGACTACACAGCGCTATAACCTAAAAGACAGCCATCTTCGACGTGAGAAACTAAAAAACTTACAAAAAAACAGGATATTTGTTGCAATACATATACTCAAATCGCAGTATTTTCTATAGCGTATGATTATTTTGCACCATCAAAAACTTGTCGAAAGCTCCAAAGAACGATCTACGGCCCCCTTACATCTATAGAGCGGCCACGCCATCCGCAAAAGAAAATCTCCTCTATATTACCAGCATGAATGGCGTATTTGAACCTTTATATTTATTAGTATTGTTGCGATGGGGTCAGACTTTGTCTCTGAGGGCCTCTAACGGGGACTTTGGCCATCTCCCAGACGACATGTCAGGGGCTATGAGTAGTGGTGTAAAGATACAGGGGAAAACCGAAGGACTCTGAAGAAAACTAGTCCCAGTGCCACAATATGCAGCACAAATATCGCACAGATTGGTCTGAGCGCAAACTATAGTCTCCTCGGTGAGAAGCAGAAGCTACAGTATGGCTTCCTTCTTTGATGACTTTACAATAACACTTCTGAACAAGTAAATTCATTTCCCAGCTCAAAAAACCTTTTACTAGGACGTGCCTTGCTTGATTCAATCAAATTTACTGACTGGCTTCTATAACACTGAGTTTTCACACTTCATTCGATAGAAGTAAAAAATTTCAAGTTGATAGTGAAGTAATTGTTTCTGTGTATACATAGCGGGGTTTTATCGGAAATAAAGTGTGTAAGCTTTCAGGAAATGAAAGTGTGGGTTTCACCATAAACAAAATATGTAGGATTTGAAGTTTTCACGGCGATGAGACTGAAGATTGCTGCGATCAATCGCCCTGATGACGGAGGCAGTATGACCTCAGAAACGTTGGTAAACATCGACCAGACTACACGGCGCAACAACCCAGAAGACAGAAATCTTCATATACAAAATAGTCAGTTACTGGGAACATTTAATCAGCAGTTATGTACAACTGCAATATTAAAGGCTGTAAATTATATATTACTGCGTCCTTAATGTCAGAAAAGCTTATTGAGGTCCTTCACAATACCGTGTAGATGAACAAAAGACGTCGATGGTGTCTTAGCTGCCATGACAACGGAATGGCCATTGCTAAGTGGATAATAAATTCTGCAGATTTTATTAGAAGGAACCACGTGTATCAAGCGAAGTATTAAACGCACTTGGTGCTGATATGGTACAATTTAAGGTCCTGAAGAAATAGACATATTTCCAGCGAAAATGTATATGAGTATATCCGCGAGATACCCAATTCGAATCTCGAACACAGTTCCAGACATTCTGACCAAGGTTGTATTTATTTATCACAAGTAATTTCATATAACATGTCACGATGTAGACCAGACGAATTCATGAAACACTGATAATACTCCAACGTGTCCAAAACTAGGAACCCTGACAGAGAGACCGGGTTCGAAACATACACGACAGATCGCCTAAGATTTCTTTGTATTCCGAAGCCGGGAAAGCTTAAAATCTTATAAATTAGGCCTAAAGTTCTTAATTGCTTAATACTGTATTTAATGATGCCACAATGCTCAATGGGTAGTACAGCAGTACTCAGCTATTCAGAAATCACTGCTTTCTAAATAATTCAGTTTTTATGTGTAAGGAAAAGTAAAACGTATCTTATACATTCGCACTAAATGGAGTTGTGGAGTCGGTTTTATGATACGGCTGGATGCTGGACAAGTATCAGAGTCGGCCTGGTAGTGATGGAGAAAAATGAATCCCTAAACCCGCAGGGAACCGTACCACATTGTTTATCCCGTATCGGCCGCTTTTATCACTCCCCCCCTCTCCTGCGCTACTAATTTTTTAGGAGCGTTCGCAGCGAAAAGTTTAAAATACACATCTGTTTTCTTCTCCACACCTATGATTCTGTGCGTTTCTCAGCCATGTGACAACTCTTAGAAGTCTCAAAAGAAATTTGGTAATAGTTTCGTTAACATTCGTCAACACATTCGAACGTTGGTTAAAATCGGGGACATTACATGAAAATCGAAATGCTTTTCTGCGCAGAAATGACTGGATGGAAAATTCCCAGGCTACATTGTCTCTACGGTAACTTTAATTACTTTGGTTAGGCTATCTCGTACTCAGTTCGTGGGGTAAAGATGAAGAACTGTCTGTCATACTGAGCTATATTATCGAATGTGCAGAAAATATCAAAGTTCGTAACATTTGATGTTCATTCAATTAACAGAAAGAATGGATGAAAAGTTGGAGCGATGGAGGTCGTACAGGAAAACAGACACAATTAATTGCCTATCAAAACGCCCTCTTTGTTACGTCGTAGTATGTAACATCATTGTGTCTGAATAAAGGTTAGGATAAAATAAAAACATCAATTCGTCGGGCACTTAAAACAACAGAAACAAGTATGTAATTCTGGCCAACACGGTTATTCACCCAGCAGGAGTGGGCCCTGTACGTTTTGTTAGTTCGAAGGATATGAAGTTAGGTTTTACCCATCAAACACAACAACCAGTATGTTACTGACAGTCATTTATGGATTTAGATAGAGGAAGGCGAACAGCATTACAATAAAGGCCACAATTGCTGGCTACAATGCTTTAAAATATGGCAGGACTACGTACCTGAGGTCCCGATTCAACAAAAACTCATTCCGACGTCTACCTTAAATACCATTCCTACTCTAGCCCTCCATTTATTTATATTTCATGTGCACTTATTTATTTCCTTCATTCTTTCTTCCACTTCATTTATTTGTGTTTTATTTACTGCATTCACTTGTATATCGCTCCTACTGTCTCCCCCGAATTTCTCTTTCTTCCCTTCCATATTTTTTCCTTTATTCTGTCATTCCTTTGCCTTTCCCTTACTTTCCTGCGTCCTCGCAACTTTTCTTATTTCTTTTTTAGTATCTTTCTTTCTTCTTACACATCTCTCGTTATTTCCTTCCATGTTGTTCTACTTTATCTTATCCTTCCTCCGTTAATTTCCCTCTTCTCTTTCTGTTTCTTTTTCTTCCTTCTTTCAATCTCCTTTCCGTTCACACCCTCTATTTCTTCATAATATGACACGGAAATGCGACCACTCAAACGCGACGTTCAGTGTCGTTAAACAACCACAGCCAAGATGCATGTCCTGTGTGTGTGGGACGGCAGACAGAACAGCCGATGCTTAGAGGCCGCAGAACATGGAAGATGATCCATCCGTTGTCTTTCGTAACACAGTTTTCCACTTGATACAACGAAGTGGCTGCTGATGACGATCATCATGATGGTAACAACAATGATGATGGATTATGATTGATTAAAACATAATGGAGTATTCTTACCTCTTCCTTGCTCCACTGAGTGGCAACAGCTAGTACGTGAGGTTCTAGGATGTCTGAACTCACCTGCAACAGAAGTTTACATTACTCTCCGGACGTGTATGAATGTGGGTGGGAACATGCATGCTACTCTGTGGCACTTGCAAATCAATAATTACAACAGGTGTAATTATTTTAACCATGTTGCAGAGGCGTCTCAAGGCGTGAGTTACTCCGCGCATGGAAAGACGACACTCTTATTCAGAGTACACATTTATTCCAAATGTGGCCCTTGCTGTACTTCATACCCAACTGCCTTGCCGTTCCATTATTAAAGATGCCAATTTATTTTTGTAGATACAAAGCAAATCTACCACATTACGTAAATGACGCCACAACGTTTCATGTGGATCTTCGTCCTTCGATTTGTGACTAGTCCTGTACACGTTTGCCAGATTTTCGGAGGAACACACAGCATCTATCGTCAGGAGGTCTGTAACCACTTGGAAGACCACATGGTATCACAACCCAGAAGACGAGGGTCGACAAATTCAACTCAGCGAGAACCTCAAATTTCATCAAAAACTGTATTTTGTGTCACATTACGTTTTATGCGATGCGCGAGATTCGACAAACTCATAATTTTGATTAAAATTTCATGTAAGATAAGGATTTTATTGGACCGATATAAACAAAATTAAATTCGCCCAACTTTTAGTGCAGACTCTAAGCAGAATTTATGAAGACGATGATTTTGAGACAAAGAGTAAGAACAAAAATATCAGATTCTGTACAGAGAAATAAATAAATTTAAGAAGGGTTACCAACACAGAAAAAAGAGAATGGTCAGAAAAGAAAATATTTCACATGTGGTTAAAGAAGTAACGCAGATTGAAATTATTATTACGATTCAATTGTTTGGTTGGTCCACAAAACAGCCAAAAACTTCGGGCTTTTGGCCGACATACTTCGACTACTTATTATTATTCCATCTATTCACCATTTTACAGGGTATTTACTTCTATGTACCCGAGATAAACCTTGCCCCTGAGGTACATAGAGCAGAAGCTATTTCTGCAATATATTTTGTTTTTAATACGTGTTACATGTATTATATAGATTTATTGTAAGGCATGACTATATATACTATATATTTTACATCATCGTCTTTCGAATGATGAATGATGTATGATTATTATTCATAGAATATTTTTCCAAGGTTATATCAATATGTCGAGTGCCCTAGGCAGTGCATAGGGTAAATTAGCTAAATTCTTGTGATAGTAAATACCACTTAAGAAAGTAAGGCGTACAATATATTCAAATAAGCGCGAATCTCGAGGAAAGAAAAAAAACAGAGATATATTTCATTCTTGTTCTCCTGGAACGGCGTATTCTGAGCAATATTTTTAACCAGCACGCACTTTAGGTTTATATTACAGTCATATATTAGTTTTTAAGAGGGGCGTGGCAGCAAGGAAGGGTACGAAGGGATGGGAAGAAAAACTAGTGAAATAAGGAAATTAGATAAAAGGCACGAACGTGATTAAGACAGACTGAAAGAAAGAAGGTATGGAATTAACGTACGAAAGAAATTTTAACTTTTTCAGTGTTCCGTAACAGGCTTTAGAAAAGTGCACAAAATATATACTTTCAATAAACGACAACAAAATAAAAAGTGCGAAATTTGGCAGATAATGGTTTAAATACCTAAGCTCATAATCAGAGGAGAAGAATTTACTATTTCAGCTTTTAATAATGGTTGGGCTGTCGACTAATACTTAGGAATGCTTG